CTCAGATCTGACATTCTCAGTAAATGTATTGCCTCCTCTAGAAACCCTCTTTTTATTCACAGGTTGTCATGTCTCCAAGCATTTTTACAGATTGGAATTCCCTTTCCCCTTCTATACATTTGAGAGCTTTCATGATTCTGACTGCGTTCAAACTTGACTTTCCCTATGAAGCTCTCCCTGGCTTCTCCAAACATCTCCCAAGATCACTAGATGGTGAGCCTCTGAGAATCTGCTTCTTGGTCTTCTTCAGCAATCTCTGCCGCACCAGCAGAGTGTCTGACTAAAGGCAGGCATCAAAGGAATGAGTAAACACATGTTAACTCTCGAGAAAAATTACAATGGTGGGGGTGGGGGGGAGTTAGGAGAAAACAAGTAGTATTTAATATAGAAAACTGAGCGTGAAAACAACCAAAAAAATGACTTAGAGCATTGTGGGGATCTGGAGACTAAGAAAACTTTGTGAATAAGGCACAGAGTCATGAAGGAAATTTTATTAGAGTTACACCTTGACAAATAGATAATATTTTACTGGGAGAGGTGACAGGTATTTATCTCCTTGTAAAGAGAGAGTAGGGGAAAATAAAATGCTCTCCAAAGGCATTTTTATCATCTGTATCATTGACAATAAAATATAGACTAGATTATGCTATCAAACAGATTCTTTTGTATCATTTAGACTAGAGAACATGGAGACAAAGGGAGAATAAATATGAACTGCCGGGGTCCAGCCCCAGCGGTCCAGGGGTTACCAAAGGTGTGGACAGAGTCAGCGAAGAATGAAGGACACGGAAACGGTGTTCAGATGATCAGCATAGCCAGTTTCTCTCTTTATTCTCCGTGGATCTTCCTGTGCCTGGCTGAGGCCACAGAGAGAGATGCAGAGGCAAGCTGAGCCTTTATTTTATAGTCAGAGGTAAACAAGGTTGTGGTTAGCATAGTTACCCTGTTCTTGTGAGTTTCACTTGTTTGGGCAGCACTTGCTACACCTCCCTCAGCCCATTAGCTCCCCAGATAAGATCTAGGGAGCGTCATAAGGTCAAGCCTAATTATGCTAAGAGGACTGTGACCTCTAAGCTGGGACTTGTTTGTGACTTTGCCAACAGGTCAGTCCAAGGCTTAACCCTATAGCCGTGCCCTACAATGAACAATTTCCATAATTCCTAATAGTTTTCTGGCTCTCAATTCTAATTTT